GTTTTGGTTCGAACATCGGGTTTTGACCACGTGGGCCCGGGGGCGATTTTGGAATTTTTGGGGAAAATTTTGGGAAATTTATTTTTATGCATTCAAATTGATTCATTTAGTGTTTATTAAAGTAATTGAGCAATTTGTGACTAGATTCGAGCGGATTGGAGGTGGAATCGCGGGGTAAAGCGATAGTTGAGGTTTGAGTGGAATTCAAGGCATCGAGGTAAGTGTTTTATTTAACCCTAGCTTGAGGGATTAGGAGTTGAGTCATAATTGCTACTTGTTTGTGTGGGTAATATGTATGGGCATGGTGATGAGTATCCATGCGTCGGTGTCAAGCATGACCGTGAGTCTTAAATTGATAATTGTGTACCCTTGTTTGATCCTATGAACGTTGTGATTAAATATCGGTATTAGTTGTGCCAGGAAAAAGTTGAATAGGATTGGTTATAGCTGACTCTCCCTTGTCGGGATGTTTGACTTGTTGTTATAGTTCCCTTGCGGGAAAGAGTATTAATTTGATTGTTCCCTTGCCGGGATTGTATTGTATATTGTGTTGAAAGTAAAGGGAGCGGGTGGTACGCCTACCACAAGTGATATAAAAATGGGAACGGGTGGTACGCCTACCACAAATGATATTGAAATGGGAGCGAGTGGTACGCCTACCACAAATGATATATTGAAATGGGAGCGAGTGGTATGCCTACCACAAATGATATTGAAATGGGAGCGAGTGGTACGCCTACCACACATGAGATATTGAAATGGGAGCGGGTGGTACGCCTACCACGAGTGATACCGAAATGGGAGCGGGTGGTACGCCTACCACGAGATATTGAGAAATGGGATCGGGTTGCACGCCTGCAGCAAGATGAGTTGAATATGAAAGTTGTTTTATCTTTCCATTATTGTTAGAAGTTAAACTGTAGGTGTACGTACCATTATTCCTGATATTTTGACTCTATCTGTTACCCTGAAGCATGCTCCCTTCCCCAGCTTAAATTGTTATTTTCTTGCTATTTTTCCATTGTACTTGTATATATATCTGCACAGGTTTATCTGGAGTCTGGTCCTACCCTCGTCACTACCTCGCCGGGGTTAGGCCAGACACTTACCAGCACATGGGGTCGGTTGTGCTGATGCTACACTCTGTGCTATTTGCACAGGTCCAGGTTTCGAGCAGCAGTAGCAGCATTAGTACGGGAGTAGGCCTTCAGTTCGGTGAGACCCGAGGTAGCCTTGCATGCGTCCGCAAGCCCGGCGTCTCCCTTATTCTCTCTTTTTAGCCTGTTGCCTCATTGTATTCGAGACAAACAGCTTATGTTTTCTTTCAGACGTTTGTGTTTAGTATTCCTTAGCACTTCGTGAGTATTGTGACACCAGTCCTGGGTAGAGGATTATATTGACTATTCCGCATGTTGATTCAGTTCCTATAATTAAGACTTCCACTACTATTTAATTTCATTATTTTTTTATTGTTGCCATGAATTGTTAAAAGGGATTATGTTGTAAACGGAAAGTAATTAATAATTTGGCTTGCCTAGCTTCTACGAGTAGGCGCCATCACGACTCCCGAGGGTGGGAAATCCGGGTCGTGACATTCTCTCATTTTTCCATCTTTTTTTCCCTTTGTATTCTTCGGCTAATTTTGAAGTTTAGTGATTAAAATTTTCCTTTTCGCTTGTGGGTTATGGCGTGTCCAGAAGTCACCAGATAATTTATCTTCATTTGATATTTTTGGGTGGTAGGATTGTGATAGATATGAATCGACTATTTGTGCCGGCCACGAGCCAAACAAGTATGAATGATTTAGAAAGAGCACAAACTTTAGTGTGCGATTTCTGTTTGACATCACTATTTGATTTTCATATAAAGGTGAATTTGGGAAAAATAAAAGCTGCAACGTTGTACAATCAATGGCGGATCAAGATTTTACAGTTGTGAATTCGAGCTTTCTGAAGAATATGTATGCCGGCTCTTATTGTTGTGAGGCGACTATTAGAAAGAAGTCTGACTTCTTTGACAATTTTTGATTTGCTAATTTATCCCCATCTCAGTGCCCTAATACTACAGCAATGTGTTTCTTAATTATGTTATAGTTGAAATTTTTATGCCTGCCTTGAATTCTATCAAAAGTATAAGAAACTGTCAGAATCTATAACTTATTCCAACTCTTAATATAACAAATTATACTACACTGGATCCATGCTGTACAAGTAACTACTGGATAAGTTGTCACCACTAATACTTTTTCATTTTGGATGCTCTATCTACGATGTGTTCCATTTCCTGTTTGGATATAGTAGGGAGAAATTAAACTAAAATAACACGACTATTAGCCTCTGGTCAACTATCCGAGACAATCTCTCTCTTTCCATACTTTTCCTATAGACATGCCAATTGCCCCCTCCCTCTAAGTCTTCCTCTCTTTGTCATTTTACAGAGAATGAAATATTAGCCTCCTCCTTCATTTCCACTAGGAATCCATCCATGGAAAAGGCTTTTTACTCGAAAAGTATTATAAGTTAAATGCATCCCTTAATGTGTTGCTCCCGTGAACGCAAACAATGTATATTTTTGTTCAAAATTTATGTAAATTAAGTGTGTATCACTTAGTATGACACTACAAAAAACGGGAGTAATTGTGACGGTTAATTTTGCGTATAGTGACGGTTAAAAACCGCCGTAATTGTAATTAGTGGCGGCTTAACCACCCGCCATAATCGCTTCCGCCAAAAGGTTTAATACGGCAGTTTCTTTAGAACCGCCGCAATATACAAATAAAACCGCCGCAATATACATAGTTAAGACTGGCTGCTGATTGTGGTGCTTAGGAACCGCCATAATTGATGTCTTTCATATTATAGCAGCTTACACTGCCATAATTATAATATATTTATTGTTAATTTTTTAATTCTACATTTAGATGCTTTTTACTGCACAAAATCCATCATAATATGTAATTAAGCACCCATCATAGTAATTAACATAAATTATAGAGAATTATATAAGCAAAATATTCATCATATTAAAACATAGGTACCCAAAATCCCATATCATCCAAGATTCAAGTTTAAGTTGGTGAGAGTTATTCACCAATTACAATACACAATAAACATAGTTCATTGTAACAATTACAACACAAGAAAAACATAGTTCATCCTAACAATGATTACTAATTGTCATTTGCTCCGCTTTCGTCAAAGGATCTTCTTGGCCTAGTTGGTGACGGAACGCCATCTCCTAAATTGGGTGCCTGCATAAAAAAACTAATTAGTAGTGACAAACTCATATCATGCCAGTATTTTGCAAATACAGATAAAACGTATAACCCCTACAAATATCGAGCAAAAGTAAAAGTCGAGAAAAAGGTAGCATCAAATAGTAACACGCAGAGAGCAACAATTTCTAGTAACAATTTACAAAAATAATGAACTTGACTGCTAAGTACAAGATATAATAACAAACAAGAAGAAAGTATCTTTCAAAAAATCTAGATCAATATGTTGTTTTAAAAGTGCAGATTTCACTTGCTCAACCAGACTACTCACTGTAACAGCAGAAATTGGACTGTGCAGATTCAGCTGTGAAGTTACAGAGTTCTTCTGCAGCATAAACCTAGGTTCAAAACTGGGAGAAACTAGCAGTGACAGATCTCAAACTGTGCAGAAAATGGACTGATCAGTAGTTAACACAAAGAATGCAAACTGAAGCTTAATAGCAATCTGAACTCCCAAAGAACTCAGCTCCAATTCTGGGCGGTAAATTAACCTGTCAAACTGAAGTATTGACTTGTCTATTGTAACTGAAGTTGCTAGAATTTGCATCAAATGAAATGAGGTAATCAGTTACAAGAAAATCAGCTCAAACAATGCAACAAAAGTGCAGAAATTGCAGCTTCAAAGCAGTGCAAAAATGCTGTCAAAACTTGATCAAAACAGCTGAACTTTGGTTAAAATTGGAACCAAACTGAAGGTTTATTGTTAACTCTAATGCTAGCCCAAAACAACAGAAATCAGCAGCTCAATGTGCAGAACACTTAAACCAAACACATCAAGGCTGCAAACTGAAGCTATCAACTCTATTAGAACTTTTCAAGTTTTCAGACCTTTCAATGATCTAAACTAGGCAGAGAGAGAACAGGATCAGGTCAAATAGAGACCTTATAACATGACCTTTTTATAACTCACGGATTCCATTATTAGGAGAAAAATATACCTGAGAATATCATTTCCCCCGATAATAACTTCCAGCTGCTTTTCTCATAATAAACAAAATTATCTCATAACAGATTCCAATCTAACTTTAAACATATTGTCAAATTGAATGGGCAAACAAAGAAAAAATAAGCACTTGTACCTGTGCAGGAGTCGGAAATAAGTGAGCAAACTCCTCGGGGATATTTCCAATTGTCATTTGAAATAAGCTAGTTAGCGCATTCAATTGTGATCTCATATTTGCCATCTCTTGCACCCATTGTGGAGGTGGAGCACTAGCGCTAGATGAGCCCATATAAGAACAACCACCTCGGCATGATGTTTGCTTGAATACTACAGTTGTGGAACTGCACCCATGCCTAAGCCTCGAACCAGCCAAGGTGCTCGGGACCGAAGACTACACCAAGCGCATCATTCGTGTGAAATTTCTGCCAGATTTTCTGGCCTTTGTCTTCGAATTTCTTCAATTCTTTCCTACACGAGGGACAAAATATAATTTACAAAAAGCGAATTAGATTTTAGGAATTTAACTATAGTTAAAAAAAATGAGAAAGGGAAGTAAAAAAAAATTATAAAAGTTAACACATGAATGTGCAAGAATAATGCAAATATGCAAATTCAATTCTTGCTTGTACATTATTCGGTAGTTCTTTTGTGTCATCATTTTCTTCTTCTTCTTGGAATGGGATTAAGATCTGTTGGAATTTTGAACCTCATAATTCTTATGAAAGAACTAAAGCACCAAATAACACTTACCCAATCCCTCCCTAGCTTGAATCATTCACATAACTCCCATCTTTCCTCTTATGAGTCTGAGTCCACACTTTGCCTCGATCAACTTCTTTCCCCATTTTCTTCTGAAATTTTAAAAAAGTAAACTTAGTTAATTAAGAATATATTAATACACAGACGATCAGTAAGTATTGTCATATTAAACTACCATCAAATCCCTTCTTCTAGCCAGACTCATAGCACCACTAGTATGAGGAAGTGTTTGGTTGTCTCGAATCCGTTGATTTCTCAAGCAAAGCGCCTACGAGTCAAAATAGGAAGAATATCTGTTACATATAGAAAGCGACATTGATTAACTGACACTAAACAAGACACTAGCATTCATTTGCCTGCAAGCTTTAGAGAACTAAACAAGAAATGATAACTGAACTATTAGGAAGCTTCACACCTTTGTAGCAGACCATCTATTAGCTTTCTCAGTATCTACTGGGCACAGTTATTGTATCTATGTAAAACAAGTCATGTACTTCTTTTGGTGAAACAAAGAAGAGCAAAAAGAAGAAGAAGGGAAAAAAAGAAGAAGCCACAGCAGTGGCAGAGAAGAAGCAGCAGAGACAAGCAGTGAAATAAGAAGAAAGAAGAAGAATATCGAACCTTTGTTTCCTCTTTGGACGATAGTTAACATACAATGCCCATTTGTCCCATGGGAATGCCTTCTGGAGCATTCTTTTTATATCTTCTTTGCTCAATAATGGATCATGGCCTCATCCATAATTTAAGCCTGATTCCTTCCCACTTTTTTTATTAAGCGAATTGTTAAGCCAACTTTTACCTTTTGCTGATCACTCCTAAAGAAAACCGAGGCTTGACAAAAATAATATATGTTAGTTTTACTGCTGACAGAATTTCCAATCAACAACACAACAACTCTTTCCAACAAAAATCTAAGTAAAACAACTAATTACATACAAACTAAGCAAAAGAATAAAAGGCATTACCCAATACGAAATCATTAACAACACGGTGCACAAAAGGTTTAGGCATAATGCCCAACTCTCAAAGCCAATGGAAAGTAGCAAAGGATTTGTAGCAAGCTCCCCAAAAATCCTGCAAGAATGCCGCTGAGTTGATTTCCAATAGGTTGAGCAAACTCATCACATTCAACAATTATGCGCGATTCATTCTCCAAGTTATGGACATCCTGAACCTTTAACCTAATAGATTTTATCACTTGATGTTCATCTGCAACAAAATAAAGACCATAACTAAAATATAAATCGAGGAGTTGAACATCCAGGGAATGCAATCCCTGGATGAAATCCTGAAACCCTCAGCAATTTCTTGAATTATGTACCTTTGGGAATGCAAGCAGAAAGAAAGGACAAGTGAAGTGGAGTTTTGGTTCATTTTCTTGAGGTTTTAAATCTTGTTTCATAATTAAAATTTCTGGAAGAGTGTACAGCAAACACTTCTGGAAGAAGTGCTGATTTCCTGCTATTTGACCCTTTTTAATGTGCTAAAAGGGTGAAAATAGTGCTGGTTTTTATAAATGCTAATTTCTTTGTTCTCACTCAACATTTTAATTAAATTTGCTTTCCTCACTCTTCAGGAGGTAAGTAATCTGGACCAGCTGCACTAACAATATCGACCCTGCCCTCTAAGCTCATGACAATCAAAGTGTAGCAAGGAAAAAAAGAATCAATAAGCTTTGATTTTCAACAGTTATGAATTCAGAATATACTATAGCTGCTCAAAAGAAAGGATAAGTTAAACTGACAAGAGCTATCCCTATCAAATATAATTTTGTCGACGTCGATCCCAATTGCTTTACGAGCTGTTTTAGATTCCTTGGCTACCTATCAAGGCCATAAATGAATATTTAGGTTTAATATTAGCAGAACAAAAAATAAAATGTCAAATTTAAACAAACAACAAGCTTAATTGAACAGAAAAGTAACAAACTTGACACAAAAATAAACGGAAAAAAAAAACTATTAGCAGAAATTGATAGCTAAAACAGTGAATCGACAGCTAAAATCAGTGATTTAAACTGTCTTCGTCCAATACACACAGATGCACGCCTAAACTCATGAATCAATGGCTAAAACAGCAAAATCGAAACCTAAATCAGTGAAATTCACGGCTAAAAATCAGTGGTTTAAACTGATATCCATCCAATACACACACATGCACGCCTTAAATCAGTGAAATCAACGACATTTTGGAAGGAATTACACGAACGACTTGAAACCGGAGACGTATTGAAGTGAGTATTTATCAGAAAAGGGCTATTTATAGCGAATTCAAAACACATCACTTAAACGAGTTGAAAATCTGATCTCCTTACAATCATTGTAATCTCCTTAGACCTCTTATAGTTACAGTGATTTAAATTTGGGAATCGGCTTGTTTATACACTGTGTTGGGATCAAGTTGTTCCTATCGCTTTTATAAATGTTATTGGCTTGTATTGTTATCGTATTGTACCGTATGTTGGATAAGATTGTATTGTTTGTTATTGTTAAATAAATTTTGTTGCTTTGGTTTGGCTGTATCTACTTGTACTGTAAACGGATACGTTTAATTAAAATACGCTTCAATGTTTAAATATTAAATTTATCAAAATTATGTATAAAAAAATTTAAAATAACAAAACGAGGAGAAGGTAAAACATCAATAAAGGAGCAGAACAATACCGGAGCGAGACAGAAAAAGGATAAAAAAAAAGGGAGCACAACCTAATTAGAATTGAGTTACAAGCAATTAGGAGACAAAAAAAAACAAGGAGGCAACAAAGACACTTTAACATTGGGGCTGGAAAAAAACAAGTACCTTAGTTGGAGATTTGGAGTAAATAGAAAAAAGATTAAAGGGTAAATAGAATTTATTGAGTAATAAGTTAGGGCCATAATTGGATAAGAAAAAATAGGACACAATCCACCACACCAATCGGTGTTTCAAAAAAAAGGGGACTTTTTATTGTTCCGTGAACAATGATCTGAACAATACATCAAACCAATTTTTAATGGAAACAATCAACAAACATTGTTTTGGGTAAACAAATACAATATCATGCGATACAAGAGGAACAACAATCCAAACAAGCTGTTTAGAGAGAACGAGAAGACGACGGTGTAGAGTCTAGAGAGAGAAGGTGTGGTCTGTTTAGGGAGCTTTAGGTGAAATTTGAATGATATTGTCACGTATCACTTAAATTACATAGTTTAATATTTTTAATATGTTACTGAATAGTACATTAATATTAGCGGAAAAGAATTTATTAATAATTCTTCTAGTTTAGTGGGCGGTTTAGAAACCGCCGTTAATGGTAAAAAAAACGACCGGTTTAACAATTATGCATTAGATGGCGCTGTCTGGAACGCCGCCGTATTAATAATAATATTGGTCGCGTTTCTTCGAACCTCTCGTTAAATAACCGCCGCAATAATTCCAAAATTTTTTGTAGTGTAAATATTATCTACTGATCCATACTTCAGTCGTATTTATATATATTTAAATTAGCTAACACGGGACAAATATGACGGCCCGTGCTGGCAGGGCTGCAGACCAACCAGTACTTT